AGCACACATGCTGCCCCTCGAGGCCGTGCGCCTTCTCGAATCCGTGCCCTGCCCCATGTTTCCTTCATCTCCTTCCATCTTCCCTCAACCCTTCCTCTAAAAGTGAGCTTAAAGGTCACCTCCTTGGTGCCGTCTGCCTCCCTACTGCCCCCGAAAGCATTAAGCACAACCTGCTGTATTCACCACCACTGGAACACGCATCCTTCGTATTGTAATTATCTGTCCTTTTCTTCCGTCAGAGCATGACTCCTAAAAGCCAAGAACTGGGCATTTCTTTTTCCGGTGACCAGTACACTGCCTGACCTGTGGCTGGGGCCCTCAAGGTTTGGTATATAACTAAATGCTGTCATTGCTTTTCCAAGAGAATTTCCACGTTTCTTCCATGTCACTGCCACAGTGAGTTTTAATGTCAACAAAATCCCCAGCTCAGCCTTTCTCTTAGCACTGTCGCCTTGCTTGCTGGGTCTTCCTTCTCTCCTCCAAGTTCCGGAAACCGCAAGAGAACCTTGTTATAATGCAGCTCATTATTCCTTGTGTGGGCGTAGCTGCTTGGATTTTAAGCTAAGCATCCCCTAAACAAAGCTGCCACGTACCACCAGGCCTGATAAAATCCAAGGAGAGAGCATCCAGTTCCCAACTCTCGAGTCCTACAAGGCGTCTCAGGTCATTTTTTTCTGAGCGCTAGTTTCCTTTTTTTTTCTTTTCTTTTTTTAAAGATTTTATTTATTTATTTACCAGAGAGAGAGAGCAAGAGAGCGAGGTAGAGAGAGCATGAGAGTACAAGCGGGGGGGGGGGGGCAGCAGGCAGAGGGAGAAGCAGGCTCCTTGCTGAGCAGGGAGCCCGATGCGGCGCTCCATCCTAGCACCCTGGAATCATGACCTGAGCCGAAGGCAGACGCTTCACCGACTGAGCCACCCAGGTGCCCCTGAGCACTAGTTTCTTAAACCGTTCTCTTCTCCACCCTTCCCGTATTCTTTCCACATGCCTGCGTGGTACCCTTCACGTTCTACCACCTACACCATACCATCCTCACCTCTACCATGACAAGGCGAGCAGGACTTTCCTTCCATTGAAAGTTGGAGCTCGCAAAGACTAGGAACTCTTTCCGAACGCTTCCTCATGTCTCACCCTTTACAGGGCCCCGGGGCGGGTGGGGTGGGGGGAGGTGGGGAGGTCAAGCGGGATGACATCCAGTCAGGATTTTTAAGATGTTCAAGTCATACACCCCCACCGGGCGTGGGGAGACGAAGTGCTGTCACCGGGGACACTGCAGGGTGACTGGACTGCTTTCAGTTCCTCAGCAGCCGGCTCACTCCGCGTCCCACCTCGGACCAGGCCCACCACTGCTCTTGGTTTCAGCTTCCCCCTTTGGGAAGCTGCAGTTGCCGGTTCTGCTTCCACAGCCCCCCTGGGCCTCCCTCTGTGGAAGTGCAACATTCAGGATGTCACGGAGGAGGGAAACCCCAAAACGGACATTTTGACCAGAACAGAGCCCAGAAGTGGCAAAGAAGAGAACACCCCAAGTTCCCCCATCGCTGCAGGACTGCCGCCAAGGGCTACGGCCTTAAATGCGGTCTGCAGAGGAGGTTACAGTTAATGCGGTGGTAAAGAGAAGGTGCCAGAATTCTCCCTTGCCAAAAACTAAGGGCACTGACGAGGACACTTGAGCTGGAAGTGATGCCTTCCTCCCCGCAGATGGAATCCGGCCATAACGGTCATTTTGTTTGGGTGCATAACCCTGAAGGGGCAGTCTGCAGAGGGGACAGCCAAGGGCTAGCCGGTCCAAGCCTTTCCACGGGGTGCATCCTTTACCCAGGGTTGGGGAGTGGTGACCCATGAGGGTGGAAGTGACTGGCCCTCTGAGCCAGATGCCGCTTTTGCAGAAAAGAGTATTGGTCAACTCAGTAGGGGCTATGAGAGCATCCCGACCAAAGTCCTTACTGGGTGAAGACAAGAGGCTCATCTGTCCCCGTCCTGTCGGACACTGGGACACAGAGGAAAACATGCACTTCAGAATCTAGTAGCCTTTGGCTTTCTCCTCTTATCACTCCTTCATCACCTACCTTGCACATCATCCTCTGTGTGACTATAGATTTTCCCTGGGGTCTTTTCTGCCCAGGGCTGGAGACAGACAGCAGCTTGCTTTGGCCGTCATGCCTCAGGCCCGCCCTCTGGTGGTG